TGAAGGAGGTTTAGGTCGACTAAATGGAAATGGGATCCTTTCAGCTGGTTTTCTAAATTTATAAAACATGTGAATACAGTAAAGAAAAACAAGACTTTAGAGTATGAAGTATGAACTAAGGAGCAAGTAAGTGGCAAGGTGTCAGAGTTAAGGTGTATTAAGTACACTTTTTTTAAGTACACTAATTAACTACAACTCCGGGTTATTAATTACACTAATTAACTAAAACTCCGGGTTCAAAAGTGTATGACAAAAGGCTAAAAAATTGCAGTTTTGAATAAGGAGATATAAAGATTCAGGATTCAATAGTTCTTAATTCATATGGTATGAAAAAGGTAAAAGATTCGGGAATCAATTTTTTTTTTTAATTCATATGGTAATACATGAAATAAACCACAATGGGTGTAAGAGATCGTTGCATTAACTTGAGATACCCAAACAACTATCTCTGACGATTGTGGAAACACACATGACCCAACAAATGAACCTGGAGGTGACAAAATTGAATATACTATAAGCTAAAGCCTAAAGCTAAACAAGATGACAACTTAACGGAATCACGACATGGGAAGTAAAAAAAGCATTGAACATGCAAATAAATATTTAAATTGAAGCAATGATATTGAACACAGTAATGCTAAAGACGCGATAAAATGTAAATCGCTTGAGTAGGGAATTGTTGAGTTTAATCCAACACGATATAGTAAATATATGTATGAACACTCAGTTTTTACGTGGAAACCCGAAAGGGAGAAAACCACGGGACTTTTTAGGCTAATGTCCAAGCCCTCTCTTTCTCATTAGGACTCTCCTCACCATTACATAGTACATTTTGAGCTCCCATTAATGGAGTCTTGTAAGCTATTTTAGAAGAGGAAAGAAGAAGGAAGGGATCCTTTTACATGGAGGGAAACCTCCTATTTATAGGGAATAGGGGGAAAGGGGGCTCTCCACCCTAACGGGCCGAATGGGCCAAACTGGGCCCAAAGGCCGAAACAGGCCTGATAGGCTAAAATGGGCCTTACTGATTGGGCTCCGTACTACGTAAAGTCTTGGGCTCCTGAACAGTAATAGGCCGGGATAATATATCCCAACAGGAATAAACTAACATGTGTACTGGACGGAAGAACTGAAATACTATTTGAAAATCTGAAGCTAATTATTCATAACCGAAATATTGTACTCATGGTTTGTTTGCAAACACTACTCCCAAGTGCTTTTTACTTTTTAAAGTGATTAATAGTAAAAGTTGGTAGTGTTTGAGAAAAAAGTGATTTTGAAAAGTAAAAGTTAGTAGTGTTTGATAAAATAAGTGATTTTTGTGTAATAGAAAAAATAAAAAATACTTTTTGCACAAAAGTCGAGAAAAGTTTTTTTAAGTAGAAGTTGTCACTTGAAAACACTCTTTAACTTTTTTAAGCCACAAGCTGGAAAATGCTTTTTTTAGTGTTTGCAAACAAAGCCTGAAAATCCTACTAAAAAAGTATAATTTTGGTTGACATAGACACTTACTTCGAATCGCGATAAATCCTAACCGAGGCTTGTACCTCGATCTTCACCAAAATCACATTGTAAGAATATTAAAATTCTTTAATTAATAATTATTCTAGACCCTTACTAACTATTACCCCAATTATTATGGTTTAATTATTCGTTTATAATCTAAATCCCATACTTCTTATTAATCAATTTTCTACTCAATCATTTCAATAGTAATTGCTCCATCCATAATAGTCCATTATTTACATCATCCATTTCAGTTTCGTTTGACCTATGATTATGATTATTATTAATCCAGCCCAAATATTATCATTTTAACCTTTTTATTCATTTAAAGGTTGTACTGTCTTCCGACCTCGTTGACCAAAGCCGGAGGAAACATGGAGTGCAGCGGTTCCTTCACCCAATCACGTACCCTCCTCCATCGGCAATCGCATAGCAGCCCGGCGAACAGTGTGGAAGGAGTGCAGACCCGCAGGTGCTCCAGCAGTTCCTCCTTTAATTTGGCGGTGTGAGTAAATGGTGGACTGTGGAGCGATGTCGAACAGAGGAGGTGAAAGGAGAGCTATTACAACGACTTAAATTAAATGTAAAAGGAAAATAGAATTTCTCCAATAAACAGAAGGACTGACGGGAGATGGGCTGTTTTAACAGTTTCGTTAAAACTGAAAGTTAAAATAAGGTTAGATGTACAACATAGTAAACATAAGGTATGAGGGTTTAATGCATTAAGAGACACCAACATATTTTTTATCACCATTACACCCTTGACAATATTCTCTCTTATAATATTGTAGAGATAAGGGAATAAGGGTACTCCTCCGCCAACTCGCTGACATTTTGTTGTTAATTCCTTCAAAACTTATTGAAGAAACTTGTTAACCACTCGACACCTTTCTCTCCCAAACGTCTCCAGTCCTCGATTGGTCTGTCATCTGGACCCACGACTTTCCTCCTCCCCATCTTCCTCAAAGCCTATTTAACTTCTGTCAGTTAGATCCTTCTCACAAAATCTCGATTTACCATACAATCTGATATGGTCAAATGACCGATATCTTGCGCTTTATTCCCGTGGAATAATGTATCAAAGAGATGGAGTATATGGCCAGGGGAACCCCCGGACCACAGACTCCCACTACTCCAACACAGGCCCAAGAAGCACAGGAGGCCCAAAGCACAGCGGCCCAAGCTCAAAGGGGCCCACAGTGCGCCTGGGGATCCAAAACTCACAGGACAGCCAGGTTTGAGCACACGAAGCTACTGAGAGAAAATGGCAGAAATCGGGAGCTTTCGGCACTTTCGTGCCCTCGACATCAGGGAAGCCTTCAGCTGAACCAAGCCTTCGGCTACACAGAGCCCTCGGTCGCATGGAGGGCCTTCGGCTAACAGCTCAATCATCGAAGATTCCCGTTGGAGACAAGCAACCACCGTATTTAATGCGGCGTCACGTCCAACCACCGCATTTAATGCGGTGCACATGCGAATGCCGGTGCCACCCCGATTGAGGTGACTCCTCGGCCGTTACATTACTGACACGTGTACTTCCATCACATTTATTGCTGCTATAAATAACAGCCCTTATTCCTCTTGTAAAGTACCAGAACATCTCGAGTTCATTAATACAATCGACTCTCTCTCTCTTACTTGTTTGCTCTAACTTCTCTATAGGTTATTCTCATAATAACCCCTCGGATAAGCTACCCCCGGGTACACTGTCCATCACAAAGTATGACACCATCTTTCTTTGCTTGTCTTTTAGGCTCCTTGTAGTCTTTTATGTTCTCATCACCCCAATTTGTCCCCAATTTTTTGTAGCAATCTCTTTTATTCCTTATGGTCTGTTTCACCTCATCATTCCACCAAGACGTGTCCTTTTTTATGGCAAGCATCATTTAGATTTTTCAAGTACCTCTTTTGCCACTTTGGTAATGATCAACTCCATTGATAGCCGCACATCATCCACTACATGTGTTTCACTATCATTCCACCATACATATTCACCAAACGTTTCGTGTGGAAAGCTTTGGTGGAGATCCTCCTATCCTTCGAGCCTCCACCAATTTATCTTTAACGTCACTCGTTGCTTAACTTATCATCCATGATTCTCACCTCGAAAATCAAGCACAAACAATTAACATACATGATGCATTCTCTCTGAGGAGTTCACTCGTTGACTTAGCCCAAAAAAAAAAAACTATTTTCCCCATCTCAACCCCCATCAATTAACAAAGTTGCCAACAATGGTTTCATTTCATTTGAATCCGGCTACCCTTCATTAAATTTAAAACGTAATCAAATACATTCATGTTAGGATTCTATCAGTTATTACACCACTATATGCATGTACCCACGTATTACATAAAATATAATACAGAATATTACACGAAATAAGACTAAAAAGAATTGAAAATTCCAAAATAGAACTGACATATTTTTATTCACAAAATAAGACTAATTACCGCCATGTTTTGGCAGTACCAGACTTCAAACATGGCAGTATTTTTCAAACTTGACAGTAATTACTCCTATTTTGATAATAAAAAACATGTCAGTCCTATTTTGGAATTTTCAAACTGTTTTAGTCTTATTTGGGGAACTTTCCCAATATAATATAATAATAAAATGCACATGGTCACATGGTCTTCTCCTTCGGCAGCTAAACCCACAATCTGGATTACATGTTTTCCTGCTATCATCTTTTACCTTTTAAAAAAACTAGAATTTCTCATTTGCATATTCATTACCTAGCCCTCAGATGACATCTACTATTCTCTAGTTACTTAATGTTGAACTCTAGCATTAACGCATTGAGCCTAATCATCATTACTCAGGTAGTTCTTTTATTTTGGTAACTAATACATCCCCGTGTTGGCACCTAAAATAGTCTATTGTAGGTGCGCATGCATGGGGACGGTGACAACTGCGGGTAGGCGTGCATGCATGGGGACGCCTGCAGCAAGAAAACATGAGGACCGCCATGACAAACATACATGGAGGCGACCGTGGAGATGGGGGAGGCGGGTGCAACTGCCTATTTAGGCGGCGGGAGACTAAACAAATGACTAGTACATGGCTACGGCTTGAAAAAATGATTAAGAAATTAGAGTTTTATAGTAACAATCTAAAGGCATATTATTCAATTAATTTTTTTTGAACGTCATTAAATTAATTAATTAATATGGGGTGTTTGGACCTGATTCTTAAAACTACCGCTGCTCTTTCAGGTAGAAAAAACACAAGTTGGAGTGTTTGAGTGAAAGTGCAGAAGTGATTCTGATGCTTTAATTTACTCATAGAATCATTTTTTTTAGAAGCTGGGGGAGACCAGTTTCAGAAAACTGATTCTAACGCTTCTGCTTCTAATTTAAAAAAAGAAACAAAAGCAGAATCAGTTCCAAACACCCTATTAATTACGGACATAAATATGATTTTGAGAAAAAAATTAATGAGGTTATAGTGTGGTGGACTATAGGGGAGCCGGGCAAAGACCGTTTGTTCATTTTGGACTTTGAACCGGTCCGATTTTATTTATCCCTTGAAATCGCCGCAGGTTTACTTCACGCGGAACCTTGGAGGTCTGTTTCTCCGATCGCCCAATCGGCGGTGATAAAAAATCTAACCTTTATCAACCCGACGGGATCTTTTCATGGAGCATCAACCTGGAGCTTCGAATCACACCGGCGTAGAAAACGATCAAGACCCGCGGAACCAGCGTCTCTACAACCCTTATCATGACCTCCAAATCCCAATCCAGACATTATACAAGCTTCCCACAGCCCCGGAATTCCTTTTCCAAGAGGAATCCCGCGTGCAGCGTCGATCCTGGGGTGAAAACCTCACCTACTACACCGGCATCGGATATCTCGCCGGCGCCTCATTCGGCGGTGTTAGTGGATTTTATCAGGGCGCCAAAGCTTCCGAGCCAGGAGAGAGCTTGAAGCTCCGGGTCAATAGGGTTCTGAACGGGTCGGGTCACACCGGAAGCAAATTTGGTAACCGGGCAGGTGTGATAGGGCTGCTTTATGCTGGGATGGAGAGTGGCATGGTGGCGGTTAGAGACACGGACGATGTCATCAACAGTGTGGTAGCGGGGCTAGGGACTGGCGCGTTCTACAGAGCGGCTGCCGGGTTGAAGTCGGCAGCTGTGGCCGGAGTTATAGGCGGAGCTGTGGTCGGATTGGGAGTGTCTGCGAAGCAGGCTGTGAAAAGATACGTGCCCATATGAGTTTGTTTTCCTATATTTGCTACTTGGATATGCAATATTCATATTCCTTATTGTGTCTTTCTACTATAGTATTTGATGATATGCTTGAGAATTTGGCTCTCTCATATTTGATCGATTGTTATCATTCTTGAAGCTGGGGCACTAAAGGTGCTAACTTTGCTTACATTTTTGTCCAATACATGTTCTAAATTAGATGTACTGAGCATTGTGATCTTGAATAAATTTGAAAACAACAGGCGCCAAGTATTGCCTATATGTGCTCTATTAATTAATACCCTGATGGTATTCAAACTACAAAGGACAGAGCTTGAACTGTTTAACACTTCCACTAATTGCTGTTACTTTCTAGTTCCCACAAGCAAAATCTGGCCTAGGTAGGATCTCATTTTTTAATTAGGAAAGACCAGAATAATAGTTTCATCATACTCCGTATACGCTTTTCAATACAAAATCAACAGCGAGAAATAGTTTTACCGGACTTGGGGCGGGGCATGACCCGGATTGGTCCCCTTGTCTAAGCCCATGTGGCCATGTGCACAATTACATCTCTGAACTTTCATTCCATAAGTGCGCAGCTTTGGCTTATTTCATGCTACCCATGCAGGTGGTGCATGCATGGGCGGAAGGGTGTGATCAAACCGGGATTGAATATGCTCTAAACTCGACTTGAGCTTGACCATGTACTAATTTGCAACAAACCCTGGTCGAAGAAACTTGACTGGTGGTTTATTTTTTATTTATTCAAACACACATTAGATCCATTTGAATTACATGCAAAAAGACATACGGAGTATAATCGAAAAATTGGTTAGGCCTGCGAGCTGCTCGTACCGTAAGTATAGAACTTGAATTTGGATTGACTCATTACTTGAGCTCATGCCTCACTAGAAAGAATCCAATTTGGTTTGAATACAATCAATCTACACTGAGTCGGTTTCAGATAGATTAAGAATATGTTGATTTGTTTGCACTCGTACATGGACCTAAAAACCGTCTCGCCACAATTCTGTTAATGTTGACCATATAAGGGCAAAATTGTAAACAATGTCTTTTGTTTCTCATTTTATTTACCAAATGTTCCCTTCCTAGCCTATTGTTTTTCCTGAAAATAAGCCAAACACGCCATCTCCTTCTCCCAGTAGATCTCCCAATTAACCACTCCTTGCTGGCTTGCTGCTTTCTGGCAGTTGTAGTAAAGGGTGAACTCAGAGTTTTTTCCCTTTCCAACACAACACCAATTCTTTTAAATGCAAATTTCTTCTACTGACATTTATGCCTTGTCCAGATCTTGGTTTAAAAAAGCGCGCCTGAGGCGCTAAAAGGCGCTAGGCGACTTAAGGCGATAGGTTCATCGCATCTGAATTCCCCAGGCGGCGCAGATTCCCGTAGGCGGCGCTTAATCGACGCCTTTTTACGCCTTTTGCGCGTCTGAGAGGCGCGCGCTTTTAGCGCCTCATGGTTAGTGCCCGATGGAGTTTTTTTACGATTCCCATTCCAAGTTTTTTTGCCGATTCAGATGCTCTCTCTTTCCAGAATTTTCGCAGGTCCTCACTCCTCACTCCATGAAAATCCTCTATAGTCTTCTCCTTCCTGCCTTCTGCCTTCTGCCTTCTGCGTTAGGTCAGTCCTTTTCTTCCCCTGTATTTCACGTAGAAGTTCAGAGTCTTCCAACCGGTTCCTTTCTCTGCTATCTTGAGTCGTAGAGGTAAGTATTTAACTATTTACTTTTCTTTTTTCTTCTGCTATTTATTTTCTTTTATTTTAAGTTGTTATATTTATAAAATTATTTAAATATGTAAATAAAAAGTATTTTTTGAAAGGTATTTAAATAAAAAGTTAGATAACTGATACATATTACTCTGTATTATCTTTTGCTATTTATAAATTTTTATAGATAACTGAAAAAAGTTTAAATATCTTAAGTTTTTAAGTTTATAAAATTAATAAAATTATTTAAATTTCCAAATCAGTCTGCTACAGAGTACAAAATGCCATTTGCGTGATAATTTATTGATTAAACATGTATTATTTTTATAGTTTATTACATAACAATGATAATACTATATAATTTAACGTACACAAAAGGATGAAAAAATAATTGTTAAAATAGCCTATATAACAAAAGTAGTTTAACAGTACATTGATTTTACATAAACAGTACGTATATATTTGGAATTCTTGCTTCTGTCTTATCGTCTTTAATAAATATTTGTTTCTCTTATGATGTTTATTAAGATTGTTTAATAGTTTGAAGTATTTTTGAGAAGAGTGCTTCATGTAGAAGTACTATAAAAATATTTCACCAAAGAAATGTGGTTGAGATCTGTGAGGCGAGCGCCTCATCGCCTCGCGCCTCGGGTAACTCGATGAAATCGCCTCAAGACGCCTCATGCCTTTTAAAATCAAGGTCCAGATGAGGCTAGGTTCTGTTGTCTGTAAGTTACGGGCCGTAACCATAACTGGAAAAAACGGGTACGGCTCTTGATCTGGTTCCTGCTAGGTCTGGTTATGGACCAATACTGTAGCCAATTTTGTGGAAAAAGTTGAAACGGTTAAAAAGCCGGATCTGGTTCGGCCGGGGCCTCTATTAGCGGAATTGGAACTGGTCATCTGGTTCTGGTACCCGTTCCGGTCTAGAACTGAGTTAACGAGCATCCATTTTGGTCTTTTGCCCCTGTTCCGGTTCCTGAACTTGGACTGGCCGATTGGGTACACCCTTAGACAAGGCCGATAAATGGTGTCCTCTTCTAGCTTCAGCACATGCCAACAGCCCGCAGATTCTATCTACTTCCCCCTCCTCTCCTTATCTTGCCTAAATAGTATTTTCTTAGACCTTATCATTTTGGTGAATCCTAGGAAACATAAAGGATTACGTCATTGTATTGTTTGGAACCTGTGAGAGATTACTTCCCCCTTCTCTCCTTATCTTTTGCACTATTCTCTCAATCATACATTGTCTACGGAGATTAAAGAGCATAGGGTTTGCAGAACATCAGAAGTCCAACCAATGGTAGCTGGTTGTTTTCTTTTATTTTCTGTTTTCCTTTGCTGCCTGTCGGCTTTCATCTGCGTTCCCTTGGACAAGTTGGACCCCTGGTACTTTCTTCTTTCATACTCTATTGAGTTCGATTTCTGGAATTTGGATAGAGGAAGCTGGAAACAGATTTGCTACAGAGGTTAGTAATGTCATGAGTGAGTTGTATCATTGAGTTTGGTAATGTCATTGAGTTTTGTTAAGAAGTAGCAGTAGTGAAGGTGATACTTTGGATTTATGCATTAATTTATTATTTATGCATGTTTCTTAAAATAAACCTATCTTAAAATACTCTCTACAAGATAGCTTGGGATGTTTCCCACAAATAAGGGAAGGCAAAGTATCATTTTGTTGAGAGTTGTCAGTGGCATGGGGCTGTAAAGACTGAGTCTGTGATTGGTGTTTGTTTTAGTTTTAAAATAAAATAAAACATAAGTGAATTTGATATCTAACTTTGAGATTCGAATCACCCTTTTCATTTCTTACCTTCTCACTCCTGTACTACTCATTAGAACAAAGGATATGTGCAAAATATAAGAGATGCTGGACGGGTTAGTTAGCAACCATTTCACTTATCCAGAAATTAACACTCAATTAGTTAAAGAAGAATCGTCATTTTAATTATCCTTTACAAGCAATTCAACGCATTTTCCCGCTACACTGACAAATTCAATTGGCTCAACGGTCTTATACCAATTAAGCGATTATATATATTTGTGATTAATGGCTTTGACGTCTAGGTGACTTAGGGGCTATTTAATAAGCGATATTGTAAATGAGGGTTTTTATTTTGTGTGTTGAATAAATCATCTGCATTGAGTAAAATAAACAAAATTCACACACCCTACTTTGATCACGATGTTCTACTACAGTAATATATAATCAAATTATTATGTATAAAATGTTATTAAATTTCTATTAATGTGAATTTACGAAATATTAATTTTTATAATTTATAATGTTTACTAACAAAAAAGATATATAATTACAGCCGGGGTTGTGCGTTAGCAAATGTGAAAGTCCTGTTGCAACTATTAAAGAACGAGAGATATTATTATTTTTAGATTATAATGTCAATGTGAAATTTCATTTATGATGAGGTTATTTTTCTCATTAAGTCGAAAGTAAAAAAAACCCTTAATTATTCAATCACTAGCCTTCAATTACAATCTCCAACGCCCCACCCCCATAGACAAAGTCACCCATCATGGAAGCACCACTATTGTGACGTCCGTCCTTCACCAACTCACCAACTCGCCAAATCGCCAATACAAGACCACCCTCCACATTGTGACCAATGGCGGATTCAAGAAAAGAAAAAAGATTGTTGTACACTTGTCTGTCCCCCACAGACAAATTGTCTATCCGGAAACGAGTTGTCTGTGAACAGACAAGTGTACAACTTTCGTGTACACCTAGCTTCACTCCCAAGAAAAACGGTTATTGGGGGCATATTCATTAAAAATGGGCTTATAAAGGAACATAACATCAATCAAACAAAAACTCAATTATGTTATGACATAATTTATATACTCGGTATGACCTAAGATTTAGTTTTCACACAACAACTGTACTAAAATATTCCTTTTGTTTGAGTTAGCTATGAGTTATATCTTAAATCCAACAACTTTATATTGATTAATATTATCTTAAATCATCAATTGAAAACATCTTTTTTATAACATCATATAAACTATACATTCACAGTAGCCTTTTCACTTAAGTGTACCCAAAGACATGTATATGTGTTATTACTTATAATGAATATTCTAAAATCAATGTTTAATACAGAGTACTTTATGCTTATACTCCTCTCTTATTTTTATACAGCTTGCTATTGCTGAAATTTTATTTTAATTCAAATTAAACATCATTAAAATTTCAATGAACCAAATCAACATATATAGATGAAATATTTTACATTATTGTCACCGTTAGACCAAAAGAAATATAATATGAAGTGATAACTACTTATTGTTTGTAATTATATTTTTTTGTTCAATGTAATTATGTTACATTGTTACTATGCATATAAATGGTAACACTAGTTTTTTTTTCAAACTATGAATATGATAAGGAATTCCCGTTCATATAATAAAAAAAAATATGAGTATTTTTTACTGATAGTTATTGTTTAAGATTATTTTAGTTCCATTTAAGTTATTGAATATTAACAATACACACAGAGTATTCATGTACATTGGGAGCAAAAGAAAAATACTTAGTACAAAGAGAAATACACACAGAGTATTGAATATTAAATTATTGAATATTAAATAATATGTATTTAGGGTCCATATTATAACGATAATATGGAAAAAACATTGGGGGCAAAAGAAAAATCTAACGGGAGAAAACTACTCGATAATTTCATTCTATTGGTAAAATTTTATCGAGGGCAAGTGCCCCCACTCCTTAGTACATGTATCCGCCCCTGATTGTAACTGCTCGACGCTCACACCCGCATCGCCACTATCGTGCCTATCCGAATCCTTGCACCACCGCCCCCTCCCCAAATCCTACACAACCACTGCCCCACCCCATCCCCACCTCAACACTGCCCATTGACTAGTTACTACCTCCAAATCCATGCCTATTCTAATGTTGATATCCATGCCCCCTTCCCCCAGTCCCACTTGTCACACCACCACCACCACCACCACCACCACATGAAATCATAACCACCATACCCCCTCTAACCGTAGTAGCCAACTATAACTCACGTAGTGCCGCCCGATCGATCACCCTAGCCTGTCATAAGCTAGCTTCTTGAGCTATCCAATCTGTCACCTTAGCCAAAGTATGTGTACCACCGCCTTGAGCTGTCACCTTAGCAACCATTGTCTATTTGAAATGGACCCCCACATATACGAGTAGAAGGACAAGAAGAGTATGATATCACGCCCCAGACCTCCTCAGACATGTCGACGACCACCATACAACCCAGATAACTCAATTGTGGTCAAGCATACCTGAATCATAGAAACAATCAATCATGAGTATCATTCACACATAGAACATCCATAAATAAACATAACGGAAAACATTCAATCAAACAACAAAAACAATGTATTTGGAAGTCGAGCCACATCAGGCAAACTTTTGCATGCAGACTCACCAAATATTTTATAAGAAAGTAATGTCCATGAGAACAAGAACGGATGAAGCACAAACCGCGGTTCTCTTCAAGATCCCCCGAAATGATTAGCGTATGAAGTAAGCTCTAGCTTCTACCTAAAATTGTGAGGCGTTTCCTCGAGTCCCTGGAGGGGAGTCGGTACTTTGAAGCATTTGAAAAATACAATGATAACCCATACGAGTTATAATCAATGCTTCAATCACACAAGACCCTCAACGTAGAGTGTTACCATATTCTAGGTAATAGCTCATACCCCATTTCAAATCATACATATCATATATACGGCAAGTCAAATAGTCAGCCCATGAGCTCACATTTCATTTAATTAATTTTCATTCCATATGACCCACTTAGGATGAATTTACTTGGATTGAAATTTTCTGGTTTGGTTTGGTCTGAACTGGTCTGATAAAGTCTGGTTCCTGTGTAATTTTATAACTATCCAAGACTAATCTGGTCTGATCTAAGACTGAAAACAGTCCAAGTAATAAAAACGTCCTTAGCCCTCATTACATTAATCATAATCCATCCAGTCCACCCATTAGTCACCTCTATGGGTACCACAATCGAGGTATGATATTGTGCTTTATCAAATCATATACATGTGTCGTCGTGACCTGAAGCTATATGTACTTCTCGAATGAACCATCCACCATCGAGATGCGTTTACTGCTTATAAGCCGAGTCCTCTACTAAGGGAGTGTTTGCAATTGCTTCAACTTTAAAAAAGTGATTTTTTAAAGTGATTTTGGGAAAAGTGATTAATACTAAAAGTTGGTAGTGTTTGAGAAAAAAGTGATTCTGAAAAAGTAAAAGTTGGTAGTGTTTGGTAAAATAAGTACTTTTTGTGTAATAGAAAAAGTGAGAAGCAGTTTAAAGCACCCTTCTACCTGCTTCCAGCTTTTAGCTTTTAGGTGATTAATTTAAGCAGAAGCTATCATTTGAAAACACTCTTTTCAACTTTTTTAAGTCAAAAGCTAAAAAGCGCTTTTTTAAAGTAATCGCAAACACTCCTTAAATATGTTTCATTATCTTATAGATCAATGATTCAATATAGGGTAATCCTTAGAGCATCTCCAATGCTACAATGTGCACGGTGCACACGTGGCATGAAAGAGATAGACACAAAAGATTGATTTTATGACATTTCTCTCCCCGTCTTTCCACGGTCTTATGTGTTTTTGGTAAGTTTTTCTCTGCAATGTCAACTACAATGTCTACATCTAGACATTGTGAAGAAAACTTACCAAAATGATATAAGATCCTTCAAATAAGAAGAGAGATATTTTATTTATTGTTTTTTGATTGGCTATCTCTCATGCCACGTCTGCACCGTTAACATTTTCGCATTGGAGATGCTCTTAAAAAGAGCAAAGGGGGCGAATCTAAGCGCGGTACTGGACAGGCGAGGACGACTCTGGAGGACGACTCTGGCTTCCCTGCGACGGCTCAGTTGGAGACGGCTAATTCTAGATCTAAGCCGGCGACTGAGATTTGTTGATTAGGATCGGGCGGCGGCAGGCTAAGGATAAGTCAATTGGGGCAGGGTTGGGCTGGTTGGACTTGGATCTGGAGAGGAGGGCGGGGGCAAGACAGGGTGCGGGCCGCGTAACATGGGTTGAGGCAGGGGAGTTGGACAGTGAATGTGGCCGCGGCGTGGCGGCAGGCGGCAAAGTTACTGTAGATTTTTGTGATAAAATGTAACTGGGCGGTTTGTAACTGTAATTATAATGTCTGATAACTGTAATTAATCGGATCAGGTAATTGGTCAAATCGGGTAATTGAAATTAATCGGGTAAGTGTAATTGGTTTGGTCTGTAACTTGTCAATTGAGTAATTGAAATTAGTCGAGTATCTATAACTGGTTTGGTAAGGTAACTGTAATTGGACGAGTTAAGTAAATGTAACTGACGGGTCGGAGTCGTTGTAACTTTGTGCGAGACGGAGTCACTTTGGTCACTTTAGTCACTAAGATAGTAGTAACTGAGGTGATGATCACTAGGGCAGTGGTAAATGAGGTGTTGGTCACTGAGATAGTTCTCACACAATTTTCGTATCCTATTATTTATCTTCAAAAATAATATTCAAATATTAAAATAATATTATAAACTTATGGTCATTGGTACAGATTGCATTAAGATAATACGGAGTATTAAATTTTTCAAAAAGCATTTGTTGTGATAGCCTGTTAAAGTGCATCGCTAGTCTAGCGGATTGAAGGAGCGTTTGGGGCTTAAAAAAAGCGCTTTTCAGCTTTTGGCTTTAAAAAAGCTGAAACGAGTGTTTTCAAATGACAGTTTCTGCTTAAATTAATCCCTTAAAAGCTAAAAGCTGGAAGCAGGTAGAAGGATGTTAAACTGCTTCTCACTTTTTCTATTACACAAAAGTACTTATTTTACCAAACACTACCAACTATTACTTTTTCAGAATCACTTTTTTCTCAAACGCTACTAACTTTTATTATTAATCACTTTTCCCAAAATCACTTTAAAAAATCACTTTTTAAAGTTGAAGCAATTGCAAACACTCCCTGAATTCGTACGGGCAGAAGTCTTAAGGGTAAATTAGTAAAGAATTTGTCCATTAGTCACATATTTGGAAGTTAAGAACAAAGGTCTCTTTTTTTGTCCATTATCTACTTTTTTTTAGTAATATTCATGTCAAAACCCCTAATCCTTATGTGCATTATAGACCGGGCCAGGGTTGGGCTTGGGTCAAGCCCAAGTCTGGATCGGGCTCAGGTCAAGCCTTGGGCAGGACTGGGTTTGGGGATTGGAGGCCCGGTACCAGCCCGAGTAGGTTCCGTGACCGGCCCGAGCCCGAGAAGGGTCTTATATACAAAGTATATTTTTTTAAATTTTAGCTTTTCTTATTTATTCCTACCCCCAAACCACCGAACCCCACCCGCCTATCACCCAATCCAAAATTCCCCCAGTTTGGGCCCAAGGCCCAGTCTCGGCCGGCCAGTTCGGGCCAGTACCGCACAGTGGCGGTCTGAGTCGGGTACCGGGCCAGTCCGACCGGGCCCTGTCCTTGCCTATGTGCATACAATCAACTCTGCCCATATATGCTATAAGAGGCACGTGAGTTTCTAAAATACATTTCCATAGTGACATCGATGACACAAGCATTTAGCACACCTCGGCTTAGAGGGTTAGACACCACAATGTAATAGTGATCATAATAACAACAAAGCAACAAGTTTAGAGACCAAAATAGAAAATGTAGAAAAAGACACATTTCATAATATTCCCAAAAGCAAGAATGACATCCTTCCAAGCAGTTAATGAATTGTACTTTCCTCAATAAACCCTCTCAAAAAGTGCGATAATACAACTATTGCTGTACACGGCCAGCTTCACTTATTGCATGAAACTAAGTTAAGCCTGACAAGGTCTTCACAGTATAAAAGGGATAATTAGCAACTAAATTCTTCGTAAAAAAGAATGTCCCTATATCATCCTGCAAAATCCAAAGGTTTTTGGGGGATTCATGCTTTGGACCCATTATTCGAAATGAAATCAATCATATTCTAGCCTTCCAGGCACAGGGCTTCTAAATAAGCTATAATAAAATCAGGCAAATACATCAACTTTGCAGTTTTGAATAAATGTGTTTTCTTTGCGTGAAAAAGAAACGAGCGAAAAACAGTAACTGCCAATTTACAGCAACATAGACTCAGGGTTTTCAATGTAGCCTTTAAATGCTTTAAGCCATTCTGCGCCAATAGCACCTATAAAAAAGTAAAAAATGACAATAAAAAACAAATAATGAGCTTGTTATTTCTAGCCTCAAGATTGTAGAACACATCTATAATAGAATGCAATCTCTGAACAACTTACCATCGATAACCCGATGATCGCAACTTAATGTCACAGACATCAAAGAGGCAAACTTAAACTGCTCAGCACCAGAACCAGGTACAACTCTTCTCTCAGCTGCTTAAATGAGACTAGCGTTAAAACATATTCTTTCTTTTATGTTTCTATACTTGGGGAATGTTTGGATCCAATAAATTCTATGGAAAGGGAAAATGATGCTAAGGAAACCTTATCAAATGTTTTTGAAAAGTTTACGTATCTCTAGGCTTAAGATGTCATGGTCTTTATATAATAGATGTAAATATATAATGAGTTAGACCAAGTAACGAAATAAATTCTGTGTGTTTGAACCAATGATTTATTTTCCTCAAATTCTCTTTACTTCCAAGTTCATCTACATTATTTCCTTATTTTATTCTAGCATTCCCCAAGTTCCAAATGCGCCCTAAAGGATAAGTGAAGTAGTATGTTACCAGATCCCACTGCTAGAATGGCTGATTGAGGAGGATTAACTATTGCACAAAACTGTTTAATGCCAAACGGCCCTCCTAAATTGGATACAGTGAAAGTGCCACCCTGCGATCAAATAGTGAAATGGTAAACAAAGTTAAATCAATGAACTACAAAGCTAGATATATTATGAGCCCATAGTGCAAGGGTTATTTACTTATTTGACTGAAAAATATGCTGAATATCAGCTGATAAATAAGTCAAAAGCTTATTTTGCTTACTATAGGTACCAAAACACTTGCAGAATGTGACCAGATGTATGTGCAGTACGATCATTTGTTTTACAGCACATGATGCAGTATATCACAATTTGATCAAAGGTAAAGCATGGGTCAAATCGAAAATATTTCGTAACATTTTTTGCGTCTTTGAGTACTTGCACATTTTCCTTCCATTACTAAGGAGAATAATAAACTGATTATGGCCACCAAACATGCTTTATATTTTCAGTAGGGTAATGATACTCTCACCTCATAATCAGATGGCTTTAAGCTATTTTCTCTTGCTTTCTGTGCTAAATGCTTCACTTCTTCTCCAATAGTGGACAAGCCTTTCTTATCAGCATCCTGCAAAAGCATGACATTTTGTTTATTTATAAGTCAGAAAGCATGCAAATTAGTAAACATTAGCAGAGCATAAATAGTAACACACACACCCTGATAACTGGTACATAGAGGCCGTTGTCTGTCTGTACTGCAACATTGATGTTCACATTGTGATACCTGCATCAGTCCAAGAATCATATACAAATCTGATTTCCAACTCTTGACATGATGCACATAGATATTATCTGAATTTACACATCAACTTACTGGCGGATGCACTCATTGGTCCATGAACTGTTGCACTGAGGAACTTTTCGAAGAGCCAAAGCAACAGCCTGAAATAAAGGTTAATTAATGGCGGGTTGTCATTGGAGTTTACACATTTCAAAATGAATTTGGGTTCTAAGGCTCTGTTTGTTTCTATGCTAGATTTCCTATGTTTGTATAGAAAACATTTTCTTGCGGGAAAATATGTACTCACCTTCTACAAAGGAGAATGTTATTTTCCTGAAGCGGTTTCAATTTATATGTTTCTGTGGGTCAAACATTACATTATATAGAACAATTTATTTTGTAAAATAACATTTTACAAAGCAATTTATTTTCTGCAATGAATGGAATATAAGAATCAAATGCAACTAACAATAGTACTAAATACGAGGTTTGAAACCCTTTATGCTGTCATCATCTCATACCTTAATTACAAGATCATTGATGGATATCTTTTTCCCACCAGATGCTTCTTGTAAGGAATTAAGCTTTGAACGCAATCTGAAAAGAAATCACAAATCACAAGATGTACAAAAGAACAAATTGTATGATAAATCTTCAGAGGGGTAAAATGAGCTCTCACTCCATCAGTTTGTCAACACAAGTATCCACAGTCAAATAATAATGGGGGATTGTTTGCTTTGATAGCAATAAGCGAGATGCAGTAACCTGTCAAAGTTGATACAAGTGTTGTGAAAATGCATATGATATTGAAGTTGGTGTAGTATCAGGAAAAGTAAGAATAAATTTAACACATAAAGGTAAGCTTTCACTGAAGGTAAAGATTGGAAAAGCTAATGTCTATACTATGCAGTAAATATTACCTTCCTTATCTGTGAATGGGGAATATCAGTGTAATCCAAATTTGTGTCAACCTTCGGTCCTGCTGATGGAGCTTCCTTCCCTTGAGAAGCTACATAATAGCAAGATTAAACAGCATGGTTACTCAATGGTTCTATACATCCAAATAAGCAATAGCACAAAAACACGTAATAAGGAATATACATCCAAAACGTATCCCATGTTAATAGCACAAACAAACGATGGAAAACAAACAATACATGTTTAAAAAAAAGTAAAATCAACTCCTTTTAAAGGTATTCTAAAATAGATACAAAGAAATACTATTACTTACCAAGGTAATCTTCAATATCAGCCTTGACAATGCGCCCCTCAAGACCGGTCCCTTTAATATTTGACAGATGTACCTGTACCAGTTCTTATACCAAAATCAATGCAACAATACTAGAACATTACCCAAGCCAATCCCGAAACATAATATTGAAACACTATCTCAAAATAGATGGTCTTAGAACATGTACATTGTGATCTTCAGCTAGTTTCCTAGCAAGAGGACTAGCAAAGATGCGGTCAGATGAAGGTGTACTTTGTTGAAAAACTTTTGGTTCTGAAGAGGTTGGTTCCTTCGTAACCTCTTCTTTGGGTGGGGGTGGAGGGCTCTTTGGTGCAGGTGCAGGTGAAGGTGCAGGTGCATCATCTGATGTTGAATGTTGATATTCTTTAAACTTCGCAATGTCCTCCTCTTCTTCAACAGTTATGGCAATTACCTGCATGTATTGACACAGTTACCACACTTCAGAAAAGTTTACTTCTTTAACCACAGTATAATTCAGGGATTTCAATCATTTAAAAGTGATTGGATACACAATATGATACATAGAAACACTTAAATCGATAAATATGACCGAAAGTCAGAAAATTATGAACAAAAAAAGACAAGGTAAGCTGGAAGATAAAATAGGATTTTTTTACTTCACGTGGAAATCTAATACTACCTCCGTCCCCCTAAGTTTGGGACAAGAGAAGGTGGCACGGTTATTAATAAAAGTGGGTTTATGTGGTTGATATTGAATTGATAAAGTAAGAATAAAGTAGGAATGATTTAGAATCACACAAACTTTACCAAATAAGGTATGGGACAATCTTAGTGGGAGTGTGGGACAGACTAAAATGGTAAAATGGGACAATCATAGCGAGACGGAGGGAGTATAACAAATGCATGACGCCAATACCTCACCAACTTGAATCCCACTAGCTCCATCACCACGCAATATCTTAGCAAGATATCCTTCTTCCATGCATTCCATCTCTACAGTTGCTTTATCCTATGTATCAACAAGGGCATATATATATATCATATTTACACATCTGAATACGAAGAAGGTTCAACATAATTACTGTAGTCACATAGCACATAAGACGGATCCTACTGTTTCAACTTCACAAAGTACTTCTCCAGCAGATATTTTGTCACCCTCTTTCTTCAACCACCGAGCAATATTTCCCTAGAGAACATATCCAAAAAGCTGTGAGGCAACTTCTAAATGGAGATCTAATACTATTGTGCTTTTAGAGAAATGCATGCCTCTGTCATTGTCGGCGAAAGTGAGGGCATCCCAATCTCTTGATGTGGAGGAAGATCTGAAAACAAGGAGAAAGTTGCATTCTTGCATAATTAGATGAAAGTCTAAAACAAGCAACAAAGACTTATGTAATAGCTCAGTTGTGATGCATATCAGTAATATTTAATCTTTGCTACCCAAATATTTCCGCCTGGTTTGCTCAATTGCTCACCATATTATTAGTCAGTAATAAGGAAGTAGAGGAGAATGAGAATCATGGATCAAGATTTGAATGGAAGATCGAAAGAGCTAATGTAAGAAAAAGTGCTTACCACAAGAGAAGTTTCGCATATACCCTCCCGTACACACACACAGACAAATAGATGCAAATACATTAAGTGCTCAAGTTGCACATTCATTTTACATCCGTTTGATTACATTTTTGGCAGTTTAATCCTGAATTGATTTTAGCATTGCTTGCCCTGATACTCTGTATTTTCTTATGTTGGTGCATTAATATATCAAATTGAAGGTCAAGAGCTTCAAGTTGCGAATTTTTACCACCCTTTTACACTATTATCTAGTTGTTTATATTAACTCCTTCCCATAATTGTCTTCCCTCTTTCACTTGAGATGCTTTTTGGGAAAATGAAATTATGTGGTTCAGGTTCATTTAGAAAGGAAGCAAAACAATATCTATCACACAATACTTTCTGTTAAAGGAAAAACATGAAGAAAGTTTTGGGACAACCCAAGTAGAAAAATGGGAAGAAAACTATGGGATGAGGGGAGTATATTCTAACTGTCATTAACCTATCAGTAATTCTTCTAATTTCATATATTAATGAAAGCACAAAAAAGAATTTAAGTTTAGTGTACTGGTTGTGTAAACTTGCACGCACGTGAGTGTCATACATTTACTACAAAAATATTACAGACAAATAATTATGTAATGACTTGTCCTACCAGGGTTTACTGACAAACCTATACAGTTATAACCAAATGTTTGAATGCTTCCTAATATGGACACAAGCCTTAAGAGTTAAGACTGTAATTTAAGAACCAAAAACATTCCTTGAAAGAGAGGGAAGTAAAACTGATTAAGTATTGACATCTTAAAACAACACAGTGGCCTCACCTGCATTAGCTGAAAACCCTCTAATCAGGTGCATCTGTGAACTGACACACAAAAAATGCAAAATTTGTAAGTTGCATCAACATAAAAACTATACTGTAGCAAAAAGAGGAATAAACGAACCATGAAGACATTCTGCTGTGTAACATGCAATTCACTGATACATCTTCCTTGGGTGTCCTCATAAATGATACCTATATCAACTTAGGGAGTTAGAGGTGTTATTTATAATTTTCTTTCAAGTAAAAATATAAATAAAAGGGACAAAATTAGTATTCATATTGTGCCAAATTGAATAATACATAGTACTTTTTGTGGAAGACTACAAATAAAGACAAGTTGTGAAATCACCGTTGTGGGACTCATTGTTCTATGACTGTTTTTGAAGCCCAGCATGCTTGATTTAGTCGGTTGGGGTGATTTCAAGACACTCTCATTGTGACCAGTTGCAAAATGAGGTCGTCTCAACCTTGAAGTATCTGTGAAACAACAGAATTGCCAGATCTTTTTTAAAGTCAACAGATATTGTAGTTTAGCAGAGGTGGATCCTAATGTCAACTCAAGTACCTATACTTCATTGTTTATTCTCTTTCATTTGGTACAAAATTTGAGTTTCTTAGCAGCTACACAGTATTTCACTTAATTGATTAGCGTAGGTGGTCAACTGGAAGCACATTATATTAGGATAAACATCAAAGGTAACCTACTGTCACTCCAGCGAAAAAACTAATAATCATTGCATAATTATTTACTATGTTCTACTGAATGACTAGAACTGCTACATTATATGCCATCATAAAATCCTCAAGGTTGTGAATAAGGATGGTTATGATAACCTATAAAAAGTTGACAAGCAAGATACTTAATAGCACAAGGTATGCTAATTAGCAAATAACTAAATAAACAATGTACTTGAAGAGAAAACACATTTCTAATGAACTTGCCATCTCCTTTACTGGTCAAGAGCCTTGTGTCACTTCCAAACCAGCGAACCGATACTCCGCAATCATGCTTTACCAAACTAGAAGTGCTTCTTATCTGTATGAAAAAGTATAATTCAAGTTAAATATTCTCAATGAGACCATGGATTGTAGTATCAAATATCAATAAGCAAACATCTAAATCACACAGACAGAACCAAACAGCACACAGGTGCTCTCTATCTATCCAAAAGAAGACTGAAGTATGCCTACTATTTGATTTTAATGGTTAATAAACGGGTGTGTTTATATGCCTTCCATTTCATCATGAATTTCATTAATTTAATTTCATTATAAATCAGTAACATTAACTAAGATATCATACAATGCAAACTATGACTCCGAATGATCACAAATGCCCATTCATCACAAATTATTATCCCTAAAACAAATCTAAATTTGATATCTATCCAGTATACTGTTTACAGATGGATCAAGATCCATAAACACTACTTATAGCGCATCTGTCGCGAGAAAACTAACTCATGGAGAAATTGAGAAATCGAAACTTCCTAAGTCGTTAAAAAGGTACCTTTCTGCAGTGACGCGCGACCTGAGAACCGCAAGTCATTGTGTGAATGCTCCCGGGCGCCTCCTCAGAAGATCAATATAAATCGCCGGAAAATCGAGGCGGATATAGGTGGCCGGATGTCTTCGGAAGTGTGGGATTGACTGAGCTCAGGGTTTGACAGGGCAGATGTTAAAAATTAGTCAGCAAATTTTGGGCCTTGTTTGGAGAACGAACTGCAAACATTTTTAGAAAGCCAATTAGCCAATAATAGGGAAAACTGTCAAATAATTCCTCCAACTTTCATAAAAAAGGTCAAATAAATCTTTATATAGGAAACTCTGTTCGGCCGTCGCAATTTGGGGCGGTTCCCGGTGGAATTTTTTGATGAAATTTTTTGAATATAACTATGCAGTTTTGAATTAATTTGAATGTGTTTCCCGATTGAAGTTTTAGTTGAAATTTGATATGAGTAAACTAGACTTGATGAATAAGATGCTCAAAAAATTTCATCAAAAAATTCACCGGGAACCGCCCCAAATTGCGACGGCCGGACATAGCCTCCTATATAAGGACTTATTTGACATTTTTATAAAAGTTTGAGGACCTATTTGACAGTTTCCCCCAATAATACATAAGTGCAATTATTTATCACTATTGGTACAATGGTACCCCTAATGGCTAGACATCTTGGCTTTCTTAGAGCCCGTTTGGTAGCACCAAAATCGGCTGTTTTGGCTGATTCTGCTAAAATTTATGAAGTTCTGGTTGAAGTGGGTGCATTGGCTGATTCTGATTTAGGAGAAAAAATTTAAAATATATTTTATTAATAATAAAAAAAAGAATGACACACGTATGACCTGGGCACTTTGAAGAGACCAAAATATGGCTCCTTTTGCTTTTCCCAAAAATGTGATCTAAAAAATTCAACTCCTCTATCCGCATCGCAGAACCACAACCCCTTCTCCTCCTGCGCACAAACCCCCTGGACGGAAAAGGCTTCACGCACAGAGCAACTCATCCTTCTCTCCTGTGAACTCAATATCCCCCGCATCTCATCCTTCTCTCCTGCGGTAAAAATAACTCATATATGTAAACTCAGTCAATACTGCCAGAAAATGGTCATCTACGGTAACTTCAGTCAATACTGCCAGAAAAGTAACTCCAACCTTACCTTTTCTGCTTATTACACAATTCAGCGCGAGAAAGCAAAAGTTACGCGTTTGGTGAAAAAGTTGGCTGATAAGCCGAAAAACATTGTTGCCAAACGGCCTCTGAAGTGTATAGATAGTATAACATATTTAGAAATTGACTAAAATAATATTTATACTCTTATCATTTTTCTTTCTATCATTTTTATGTATATCTTATATCTTTTTATATTATCTTTTTAAGCATAGTTTATTTTTTTTGGACGAAATGTAAATTTATATTAACACCCAAAGAAAACAATACATCAAAAAGGTTCTTGATCTCCCAAAACCCCCACCCCTGTCCAGTGTAAGGGTTGGGAGAGATTTTTGTTCGATCTAAATCGAAATCAAAAGGGGCCTAAGTATACAATACTTAAATGCCCCAAAAAGCTCAAAAACCAATCGGTGCTGCAAAGTGCACGCACACAGCTCACCAAAATACATCCATCAGAAGAAAATGCATGACCAAGAGGAGGTTACAATGCACACTCCCCTTAGCCCAAAAAAGGAATCATGGTGTTGCAATGTGCACACACCCTAGTCCAAGAAAGATGATGCCGTGGCTTCAGAAAGGAGACGACATTCACCCATCAAAATTTGATCATGTCATGCGGGTATAAGCTATATAGGATCTTATACACCACATGCTTGATCTTAGCAATCACATCTTCTTCCGTCTTCGTTCCTCCGTCAAATCGTATCTCATTCCTCGCATGCCAAATGTAGTAGACCGTGGCACAAAATGCTAGACGAGCAGCTTTGGCCTTCATCGTTGATCCTTTGTGTGTCTTCATGATCCACTTGATTGAGCTGAGCATTGTTGTCATTTGGCGTCCAATTCCAATCCAATCCCTGATCTCATCCCATACCCTACAGGAAAATGGGCAAAGAAAGAAAAGGTGTGGAATTGTTTCCAATCCACCCTTACATAGGTCACACCTATTAACCATGTGGAGGTAACCGAGGCTATCCTTTGTGGGCAGCCGGTTCCTCAAGCCCAACCAAACATTAAACGAGAATTTTGGGGGATGTAGGACTTCCAAATGAAGCTCATTGGAGTCCTAGTGGTTCCCTTTACTCGTAGAAGCTCATAGATCTTGGCCGATAATAGTTTCCCATTGGTACTCCTAGCATTGAGGCCCATTATGGTTTCGTTTAAATTATTAAAGCACCCTCATATTTTGTCCCGTATTTGACTCAACCTCTTCATGAGTTGTGAGTCTCGGCCGTGTGGGACAAATTCCCACACACTTCTGCCCTTAAGGTAGACGCCATTAACCCAACGTACCCAAAGGGTATCTTTCTTCTTGTGTACGTCCCAAAGAGTGCGAGAAAGGAGGCTATCGTTCCAATTACGGGCATTGTGAATGCCTAAACCCCCTTCCTCTTTTAGAAGACATATGTCATCCCAGGACACCTTTGAGAACTTTCCACCCCACAAAAACAGTCTACAAATGGACACTATCCTATCCAATATGGTTTGGGGAACCGGGAAGATTTGGAGCCAAAACGATTGGACCCCTTGGATCACCGATCGGATTAGCTCAATCTTTCCGGCATAGGATAGTGTTTTTGTATTCCACGCATTTAGAAAATCCTTAATTATGTCAAGTAAAGGTGCATATTGTGCAACCGATACCTTAAGAGGGACAAGTGGTATTCCTAGATATCTCACCGGGAATATTCCTTGCCCATAGTCAACAAGGTTTAAAATATTTTGTAACTCTTGGTCCCTCACCCCTCCCACAAAAATATTTGATTTTTCGTGGTTAACCCTTAGGCCGAATGCCTCTCCGAACTCTTTGAGAGCTTTGACCAATATTTCTATGGAATACGTGTCACCTCTCGAGAAGAGCATAAGGTCATCCGCATACGCCAAGTGGGTAACGCCCAATGTAGAACATCGCGGGTGGAAATTAAAATTCCCCCCTTTGATTCTCAATGTGAGTAACCGGGAGAAATATTCAAGGCATAATACAAATAGTAAAGGGGACATTGGATCCCCTTGTCTAATTCCACGTTTGCCTTTGAAAAAACCATACAATGACCCATTCAAGGAAACCGAGAAGGATGCCGTGGACACGCATTCCATAATCCACGATATGAATCTATCGGAGAAGCCCAAACCCTTCAAGACTTTTTCTAAAAAATCCCATGAAATTGTGTCATAGGCCTTTCGCAAATCCACCTTAATCATGCATCTTGGTGATATTCGCTTCCTATTGTATCCTCTAACAAGTTCCTGGGCGAGGAAAATGTTATGAAACATTAGGCGGCCATCGACGAAGGCTCCTTGGGCTTGATTAACCAGTCCCGAAAGACACGGGGTTAATCGAGCCGCAATTATTTTTGTTATAATTTTATATAAAACATTCGTGCATGAAATAGGTCTATAGTCCGACACTTTCGGGGAGTGATTAGTCTTAGGGATAAGTGCTATAACAGTATGATTAATCTGTTTAAACAACTTACCCGTTATAAAAAACTCCTTAATCGCTTGGACTATGTCATCCCCAATAAAACTCCAATTGGCCTTAAAGAAGGCCGAGGTAAACCCATCCGGCCCCGGTGCCTTGTCATCCCCAATATCAAACAAGGCATCTTTAATTTCCTTGTATGTTACCGGAGTAAGTAGGCTATCATGAACACTTGGTTCAATCAAAGGGCCGGTTCCTAAAACCAACGGGTCAAGGGGTAGGTTTACCTCGCTAGTACCAAATAAATTCACAAAAAAATTTACAAATTCATCTCCAACTTGATCTAAGGAAGTAGTAAGGCTACCGTCCTCCAAAGCTATGGAAGATATGGCGTTCCTTGTAGCATTCCTCTTCACAATTGCATGGAAATATCTTGTGCCTTTGTCCGCCTCAAGAATGTGTGTGGCCTTTGCTTTTTGTTGGTAGAAGCTTGTTTCGGCCTCCCCCAAAAATGTAGCATTTTTTCTAGCAGCGCCACTTGCATTTTTAACTCATCATCAAGAGGCGAATCCAGCCACAATTTATTCAATCTTTTGAACTCCTCATTTGCTTTCTTAGCCTTCATTGATATATGTCCGTATTCCATTGCGTTGAGGTTCTTTAGCGGCCTTTTCAGCAACTTTAACTTCCTCACAATTGAGAACTGGGTTGTACCATCAATGAATTGACTCCAATTCTGTGCAACTATGTTAGCAAAATCGTAATGTTTAATCCACATATTAAAAATTTTAAAGGGTTTCGGCCTAAGAGAGGAATTATTGAGCATTGATATTACGGAAGCCGTATGATCAAACTCAACCTCCATTTCTTGGAAATGGGCCTTACAACTAATACTTAGCTGTCCCCAAACCTCATTTAATCATAGTTTATCTTTTTATCTTTCTTATCTTTCTTTTGCTTTTGGTTCCGATATCATGTATAGTTTCATGTTAATCAATCCTAAAATCATTTGGGACTAAAACTTGAATGTTGACTTGTTGTTGACTAAAATATTATACAACACATGAATCACTAGTATATTTCAAAAGAAAGCATGTACTATACGTAGTATAATTTTTGTGTGGAAAAATTGACAAGAATAATTTCACATTTCATTGGTCTCCTCATAATAATCATACCTTTATATAATCTCAAAATAATATCACCTTTGCACCCATCTTCTTTCATTGGACTTTGACCAAGTTTTTTACCTTTCTTTGAAAATCTTATATAAATAATCTCACATTTATAAAGATATAATAGAAAAGTGAAAGGTGAGATTATTTATATGATTTAAAAAAAAAGTAAAAAAAGTGGTCAGCGTCCAATGAAAGAAGATGGGGTGCAAATGTGTGATTATTCTGGGATTATCTAAAGGTGAAATTATTATGAGAAGACCAGCGAAAGTGGAGATTATTTTTGTCAATTTTTCCTTTTTGTGTATGTACCCATGCTATGAATATATAATGTAAAGGAAAATGTTATAAGTAAATGGATGTAAATGTACTTACAAAAAAACTTATTGCAATCACGTTTGATGTAAATGGATGTGATGCGTTAAACAATAAAGGGTTAATTACCAATATAGGAGTAAAAAGTTTACAATTTGCCAAAATAGG